AAATAAATATGTGTGTTTGTGTGTGTGTGTGTGTGTGTGTGTGTGTAGATGTGTAGATGTGTAGATATGTAGATGTGTAGATGTGTAGATGTGTCTGTAGGTCTGATGAATAACGGGAATCAACATTATTCTTATGACGAGATAGACCTAAGGGTATTTCCATGAGAATTGAAGTCACTACAAAAATTTTGTCATGCAGGATTCACGTACACTCAGTTACACTTTCTAAATTCGTGTATTTCCTAATTGTATTTATAAATCTCTCGAAATTATGATGCATTTTGCAACGCGCTCTCCTTTCACAATTCATAGCTACGTATAGAACTCAATCGAGTGGTACTTGATGGACTTCGATTGCCTCCACTGAACCTCAAAGTTAGCAGAAAGATGAAGATTAAATCACATAAATGCAGATATTCATTATATTTTGACTAGTTTTACATACCTTGGGGAAGTTTGTTGTCATTCTTCGGATGCCTGCATTGTGGTTTGTCTCTATGCTGTATTCTGGCAATGGCAGTGGATCCAGGTAAAATTGTGAAAATATCGCAAACTGTTTCTTCTGCCTTTTTTAGTTTAACACATCTGGCAAGGAATTCAGAAAGATCCACACCGACTTGTGCCGCGATTTGATCTGCTTCATTCACTGGCGTTGACTCAAAGTTGAGATTAAAATCTTTATTAAATGTTTTTGATATTCTGTGAGCATCATCATCTCCATGAAGAGGATTGTCTCGATTATTATTGTACCAATTAATATCTTTATGAAAACTGTTGACGATAGGTTTGTCCGAGACGGAACCAGATAACAGAGTGCTTTTCAGTTCAACCAGTTTATCCAATTTGAAATCACTATTTGTCTTTTGCTCTTGAAGAATTGGCGATCTTTGCAATAAGCTGTACAATAGATTAGCCTCAGTAAGTGTTAGACGAGAAGTTTCATGGTTCCTTGGGAGAAAATAAGCCGAATGCACACATTTTTGACAGTCTACCAGTCAATGCTTCCCAACATAGGTATGTTATTGCAAAAGAAACTATTTAAATGCTTCCAAATGTTAAAATCTAGCGGAAAAAATATTATTGGAGCTCCATAAAACATTGGGGTTTGTTTTAATCATCCTAATTTGCATGAGATAATAAAGTAGAATTTAATAACAGTTGAAATTTTAA